GGGGGGGGGGGGGGGGAGCGCTCCCCGTACAGCGAGGCGCCACCTCCTTGTCACTGCGTGCGGTCCACGCAAATGAAAACAGCATCTTATTTCTTGTTTTGAAGAGGTTCTCCTCTTCACGCCGTCTGCTCCATCGCTGTACTTAGACGGGGGATGAGATGAATTATGGAGATATAACAGTGTTTAAACAGCATATAGTAAGACGGCAACCATCCGCTGATGGTTGATAGCTAAGTCTGAATTTCCATGGGTTTCTTGCACAAAGTGAATACAGGAGGGATTTTGATTTCGTGTCGCCAATTAAAATTTGGTCACTGAATGCATATGTATCTTTGCATAAGTGGATCTAAAAGTATGGCCTGAGGAATTTCTGGCCAGGAATTCTGAGACTTGAGAACAGCTTAGACTATAGTGCTAGCAAATTTCTGGGAGAGTTAGCTTGAGGCCAGCAATTGGTCGAAAAAATGTCTGAGAAAAGTATTTCCCCGTAGCACGCTGTATAATGTGCAAGTCACTTTTCTTGTGCGCATAGTTGTTTGGCCTTTTTCTGCATTACTAAGCTCTCATCAGGTTAATACTAATTTTAAATTTAACAGAAAAAAACACGGCTTAGTATCTTCTTAACACGCCTGGAGCTGCCAGAATTTTTGCTCCACCGTGCTCCGATATTCTTAGTGCGTTGTCACTTCCACATCATGATGAGGTATATACAAGGTAACTTGTCAGAGAGAATCGGAAAAAAAGATGTACAATTTGCAGGAAAAGAACGATACACAAATAACTGAAGAGCTCTTGAATAAGTTTTACGAATTGCGCATGATGTCTGAGGATACTTCCAGTAGCCTCAGCAATCCATCCCGCTACTGTATCAACAGCGATGATGACAAAGAAGTAAGGCTCGATCGGGATATTCGACTATGGATGAATAGATCAGAGTGATTGTCGACAATTACTGGCGAAGAGTGGGGTCAGGAAAGGGGCAAGGGAGGAGGGAGAAGGAGCGAGAGGGGGGAGGTGATGGTAAAAGAGGAAGGGGCGGTGAGACAGGGCAGGAGGAGGAATAAGAGTCAGTGGGAGGTGATTTAGGATCTCAGAGTCGTAAGAACGAAAAAAGTGGAATTATTGACTGGCAAAGTCTTGGCTGAAGGTAGAAATTGCAAACAGACAAGATTTATACGGGAAGGAAGGGGGAAGGGTGTACCTCGCATGTGTGTTAAAGTCCTAATTATCGATTTTAAGAGTTTTCATGTCCTGCGTGAAAATCTTATTAAGGGGAAATTAGCCGCTCAATACGCATTCGTTTGGAGTTCGGGTTCGAGTAGCGAAAATCGTGGTACCAGCTTTTTTCTCGTGTATTAAGATCCCAGGTGTCTCTTTCAAGGATGCCAACTTCATCTCAGCACTAACTTTCATGCTGAGCATAAAAAACCCATAGGGGAATCCCCCGCACAAATCCCGCCGTTGTTTCCAATTCTTACCTCCAACTAAGGTTCTCTTCCATTTAACTAAGAAAATGTGTAGGTTTTTAGATTTTTAATTCAACAAATAAAGCGGAGAGAAATAAATATGAAAACACTGCAACTAGATCATTTCAGATGAATTATTCCCGATTTTGCGTCATATATTTTCAAGTTGGTCCGTATAGGTACATTACAAAAATGGTACACTGAGTCAAATAAAACGATTAAACTTCATGCGTTGCTTGGTCTGTGTTTACAGCTAAGGGATGAAACACAAATTACATCGTAAAATGTCCTTCGACAAATGATACTTGAGACCAGCCCTTCTATTCTACTACTTCAAAAGTGAAAAGCACCACTGTCGTCCTGAGGTATGTGAAAAAGTTCGACTCTGTTACCCGAACAATTACTTTTTCTACAGACTGTTACCGTCGCATGCCAAAAAGTCAGTTCTACCTTCATCCTGCTTGTAAGTAACCTCGAAACAGGAGACCATCGGTGCACTCACAAACGAGTACTTCCTGCTGAAATTTGCTGCCGTTCGGCAGCAAATTTCTCCTGCTGTAGAAAGCGGATAGCTTCGACTTTCGAAAACTGGGCTGGATATAGCTAATTACTGTTACAGGAAAAGCTTCTGGATGGATCACAGTGTATATTTATGCTCGACGTAAATACCAATAGAAAGGTATACAGTGGGGCAATGCACTGGAATAATATCCATATGGAATTTCAGACTGCGGACCGTGCGAATGTAAATTTTTTTAATGCGTTCTGTCACAATTGTATAAAAAACATATTGCCGAGATCTTGCCTGTTTTCGCATGTTCATGTGAGAGTATGTTTGTGCTTTTGAAGTTACGGATCGTACACGAGAAGGGAACATTCTTTTAAAATTTTGGTTTCCTAGCCTTTGTGGTTCCCAAGTGATTGATTTTGACGTCAAAATTTTCACTTATTCGTACAAGAGAACTACTCGCGGAAGTGGTTTCATACACGGGCAGGGAGCATTATCCTAAAAGTTCACTGTCCTGAATTTTGTGATTAGTGGGTTATTAATTTTTAGGCCACAGCTTTCGCGTATCCATACTTGAGACTTAAGCGTGCTAAATGATTGAATTTATATGCGAGATTAGCAGCCGAAAATTTCTCGTGTCCCTACATGTTTTAGGCACACGGGGAGCTGGACTTGAATTTTTCGGGTTACGCGGACAAGGAACTTCAGTTTCTTAGCTTTTCTGGTTTCCGAGGTAATAATTTTCGCGCTAAAACTTCCAAATGTCCGTACGCGCCAAACTTTTAGCTGCGAATATTGAGATGCCGGCTTTTATGCACTGCTGTAGCAAAAAACACATAAAAACTGCATTGACATTTGCAGCTCGGATCCACACTCAAAAGTAGCGAGCATTGAGGCATTGAGCCGAGTTCAAGTAGTTACCATGAATACTCATAGAACGGTCTACTTTTAACCCGAGAAATATCAATATTTCTTCAGCTATGCTTTACAGAATTCGTTGGTAGCTTTGGCAAGGAGAGGTCGTCTTTGTAAGTTGCCAAATAATCATACTCTCGAAGAAGACAAATGTTATCGATATGCCTCGAGTACTGATTATTTCGTGCTTTGCTGCTGCTACAGCAGTCCGGAAAATTGCTCCTTTGGGAATGAAGAGGAATCGCTGAAGTCGAAAAACAGGGAGACTTGGAGTCAAGTCCTCAAAGTTCGAAACCCAGCCGTTCATGCTGAAATCCGTGGCAGGAGACTGAAGGCGACAGACATCGTATGGGACTACCGGCACTTTATTTATAGTGAATCGACTGAAGACGATTTCGGTATAATTTAAGAGTTCTTTTCGAATTTCTGTCACATACAAAGAAACACAAATCTTTGTCGGCGTGACATAAAACATTTTTCATCAGCTCGATAAGTTCGGCTCAGCAAAAATTCGCAACATCTTCAATTTTCATTTTTTGAAACTTTTGAACAGAGAACCACTGGCTGCCCTTTTCCAGATAGCAGCGAATGCTCTCGTTCATGTAACTCGATGACAGAGGTGGGCATTGACTTGCCGTCCAATGAGACAAATTTCCAAGGCCCTCAGTACGAATGTGTCCATTTAAACAAAAAATAACGAACCAATGTTAGCGCGGAAATTTGGGAGACGAAGGGATCAGAGCTTGACGATTGCTCTTTCAGCTTTATAGATGCTAAATTATACTTTTAGCATGCTAGATTTTTATAGAAAGCCGCATACACCAATAAACAAGTGCAATTGCGAGTTTTACAAAATTCTGCTCTGTTGAAGTCAAAAAGTGTCTATTATGTTCGAATTTTGCCCAACGTGCCTAACTCTGTAACCAGAAGAGCTACGAACATCCGCTTACTTATATGTGGGGCATAGGCATAGGAAGATGCTGAATTTAAATTTGCGGGATCGCTTATGGGCTGCAATGTTTTCCTAAAGATCCAATTCGTAGCTCTTCTGGTTACAGAGTTAGGCACGTTGGGCAAAATTCGAACACATAGATACAAACACATGCAGAAAAGATATCAGCAACGTGCTTTTTGTACTACAGTTAGAGCGCAAAATAGATAAAAAGTTAAATATGTCTTTCTTCTCCTCCATCTTCTCCAATTAATTTTTCAACAAGAGGCAGAGGTATTCGGAGGTAGTCCGAGTAACCTCTGCTTGGCAAGACCGTCGATGGATTTCTCTACCGAGGTTGATTGGTAGCAATCTGGATGGCAAGTTTGACTCAACTTGATTGCTAGTAAGCAATTAAATGTTGGAACAAAGAGTGATTGATTGCAGTGTCAGCGTGCCCCAAAGCTAAATACATCTTTAGTGCGAGAGCAGTGCTAGACTACAGTAGCGAATGTGTGCCAATATCTTGGATTTAACTCATTAAAATGACTTATTTCTTTAGGCGCTTTGTTTTTTTTTTAAATATTCATGTCGAGAATAAAACGAACCTTACTTCCTTATGAGCACTGAATGCGTATCCATGTTCCTGTCTCTCCCCTGTCCCCATCTTACCTCTTCCTTCGCTTTCTTCCAAATCTCTTCCCTCCTCATGTGTATTCTAAGCCTATCACTCCCGCTAAAATGCAAATTTTCTGTGAACTTGTCCAAGAGGAGGAATCGTCGCAATTACGATTCATACTTGGCTATACCTTGTTAAATATACTGGGCGTTAATGCAATTGGCCAAAAAAAAATTTGGTTTCATCAGGTCAAAATGCACCTCGATATCATTGCGCTGATATCAACAAGATATTGTTGGCCAAGAACGGCTCCACTACAATTGAAAGCCACATGAAGACTGAGATTCATCGGAGTAAACTGCCACAAATATCACGATATTGCGTCACTCATTTTGAAGTTAACTACGAATACGATAAACTAAAGAGGTTGTTCCGCAAATTTCTTTGTAGCCACAAAAATAATCTTTTTTCGATCCCAGAAAAGTTTTTTCCCCTTGGTATTTGGCCATCATAAGATTTCAGCTCCGGTTACCCTGGAATGGGAAGAGTTACGGGGGCTTAGCTACTTTGTACCGCAACGGCTCCTACTTATTAAGTTGTGTGGCCACAACTTGCAATTATCACGTAAAGTTCCAGCTGTTGCAAATTTTCTCGTATCGTGGGTTTGAGGCTTTTTAACGCACACAGCTAGAGTGACAAGCTTCTTGTACCGTACTCGCTGCAGAAATTTTTACTGCAAAAGCTCAACATGCTTGTACGGTATTATTCAACGAACGCAAAAAAAGCGCTTACAAACGCTCCCTTTGTAGTAAACTGATTAAATTGAAAACCCATGTCAGTCATAAATCAGTACAAAATTAGCTTTAAAGTGAAAAAATCCTATTTTTGGAGTAAAAGCGAATAGCGCTTGAACTATTAACTAGCTGACTTGACTGGCTTCAGGCACTGTGAAATTTTCATAAAATCTTAGCCAAACAATAGCAAAATTCAAATAATGAACCCAGGCTGGAACGTACCAGCTGAGCCGGTGCGATCATGCGTTTTTGCATCAAAACTAAAGTAAAAGTATTGCCCGAGCGT